AGTAATAAATGCACATTATGTCTTATTTCGGGCATTGTTGTTCACTTATTCTCATGGATTTATAACTGTGGAGCAAGAAGAAGATGAAGAATTTATTGGAAACAATTATTCGCTCAAAATAATTCTTGTTCTGAATAATTTATGTGGATCTTTAAACCATTATATTATTAACAAGTTATGATGATTGAAAACAAAACGTTAACGAACTGAATAGATAAAAGAATATGAAGAAGAAGTTAAAATTTTCAGCATTAGAGTTAACTGACTGTCAGACACGAGTATCTTGAAAGTTCTTGAATTCATGAACCGACAGTCGGATCTACGTCTCAATTGAAGACGTCTATCTAATAAACTTAGAATACTTTGACCTTCAAGCCAATCATATGTTAACTTCAAGGTCAAATCCGCATAACTGTCAGTGGCAATTAAGTAACACCCACAAATATTACACTAATAAATTGACTGAAAGATAAAAATGGAAGAGAGAAAGAGAACTTAGTGACATAGTGGAGAATATTTGTAGCTTAAGTGGGTGGTCTTGCTTGTATTGTGTTCTCTGAGATACCTGGGTTGTTTAACCGTGAAGCTTTAATCATCTTCCTGGACGACATCAACATTATGTTTTCAGTGGCATCAAATTCACAATATAGATGTGGTTAACCAACTGTCATTCCTGGATGTTATAGTCACTAGGAAAAATGCAGGAAAACTGGAAACTCAAGTGTACAGGAAGTCAACACACGCTGGCTGATCAAATCATCAACTACAGTAGCAATAACACACAAAATTAGTCACCTGCAGACTCTATTCAAAAGAGTGAGAACGCACGGCAGTACAACAACTTCACACAGGATCGAAGAAAGAACAACCGTCACCCAAGAAAATTTATCACAACATCCCTATCCTATACATCATCAACTACATAGTCATCGACACAAATCAATAAACGCATCATCCTATCATTCATAAAGAATGTATCAGTGATCAGCACAAGATTACTGAGACGACATGGTGGAATTGGTGTGGTGACTCACAAACGAACAAATTCCCTACAAACACTATTATGCAGATCAGAGTATGCAACAAGCAAAGAAGACTAATCGAATATCATTTACAAAATCAACTGGAATAACTGACTGTAGTCAACACCACATTGGACAAAGTGTTCACCCTCTCCACTTTCGTCTTCATGATCACCGACTGGCTATTGAACGTCACACATGATATTTCATCACTCATTTCAATGCAAGTGGATGGCAACTTTGGTAATGTAGAAATGCTTGAGGGAGGGAGGAAGTACGAATGATGTGAGAGAATTCCTAGAAGGTTGGCGGTATTAAGGTCAGTCAGTCAGTGAGCCAGTCGGCAATCGACAGTTGTATAGACTTGATCGATGTAATCTATCAAGCGATGATGAAAATGATAAAGGCAAGGAGGTGAGAGGTGAAGTAGAGGAATAGCCGACAGGAAAATCTGTTCAGTCGGTCAGTGATGCAACAATCGAAGGAAACAACTAACCAGAACCCAGTTGGTCAAGGTAAAGCACTAAATCACTGACGGAGAGATATTGATAGCCCACTCACTTCATCCTGAAGTTAGTGTTGATGGTTATGTTGTCTAGAGAGACGATGAAAACTTCTCTACGAGTAAACAACCCAGATAGCTCAGTGAACACAATACAACCAAGGCTTAGTGAGATAACTAGGTATTTTGATAAATGTTTCTTTCAGTAGAAACTTTTATTGTTGACTTGTTTACGTGAATGTACAACTTCAATAACAACTTCTGCATGATTTGTTTATCTCAGTATTTTTCAAGAGCTTATGCTGCATGCATGAATAGCTAGTGGATATGTCTGAGTAAAAGTCATATTCAAATTAAATCGCTTGATTTACAACCTAATCAGTCGTTCAATCCATTTGTATATCTTTTACTTTGTCAAATTCAATTTCATCTTACGTAAATTCAAGACATACAACCATACTCATATGGATCTGTTTAGGTGAAGTTTTCTGCTCTTTTCTAAGCCATTACACTACAGAGTCTGTTTCTTTGTAATTCACCCTAGTTAGTCTATCAACTTTTAATGATGTTGACAATGTAGAGTTAGTTAGTATTGACAGAGGCTTATCATTAGCTGTGATGGTATGGAGTATTCTCTAACTAATAACTCTGAAAGACTCCAGTTTATCTGTTAAATACATTCATAAGGATTCAAGTAAACTTCAGCTATAGGTACGGTTAGTGTGTTATTTAAATTGTCAAAAGTTCTTGTCATCTTAACTAAACTACTCCTGTAAGAGTCTCTACTTGATGGCATCACTTGTCAAAGCAATTCACTCAATAGACAATGTATTCCAAGAAAGAAACTTATACTAGTGTCTCAGTAGTCTACGGGACAAAGCTTTTACGTTTGAAGCGAGTTTCAGTGAGAAGTAAGTACATCCATCTGATGATTCCGAAACAGAACAAAAAAACACACTTCTTGTATTCCACTGCTAGCCACTAAATATATCAGACAACTTAAAAAGACTTGTAGTCCCTAAATCTTCGAATACTGAATACAAAGAAGGTACTGGTTATACCCTAAAAAACTTAACTGCACAAAAGAACCAGTCGATGATTGGCAACCATTGTAACTCTTAAGTTCTACGTCTGACTTTTAATTTCAAAGCAGCACGAATCTCTTCAAGTCTGCCATCAACATGAATGACTATGAAAGTCTCGTAATCAGTGAGATACATGGTAGTACCAAGTCAGTAAGCCTACTGATGACATCTTCAGCCTAATTAGTAGGAACAGATCCCAAGTTAAATCCAGAGACATACATGGATGACTTTTTAGTGTTATTCTCTGATTGAACAAGGATATTGACCATAAATCTTTTCACTATACACTGTCGATATTGTTTTAATTTGTATCCAATTGTGTTCATCTATTGCATAAACAAAGTTCTGAGATTGAAGTAGTATTAGGTTCAGTGGATAAGGCCATAGCAGATGAGGTCCGAACATAATGTATGCTAATACTTGAGTAACAAAAGAAAATGAGACAGACGTTACCGAAGGCAGAAGGAAAAGCTTTGAATAACCTTCGAAATAAAAAAAATGTAGTAATTTCTAGGTCGGCCAAAGGCAACTCAACAGTAGTGTTAAACCAGACTGATTATGTTCAGAAAGTCAAGAAACATATCGAAACAGGACCGCACTTGGAAATTAAGCAGCGAATGGACACCATTTATGAATAAGGTTAAAAAGCCTACTGTGGATCTAATACGCCGAATGAAGCTATTTCTACTTAAGTGTAAATGGTTTAATTTAATACCAAGAACTAGTAATTCCAGTAGTGTGTATGGTACTATTACAATTTATAAGCAAGGTCTTTCTATCAGACTCATAGTAGATTTTAAAAACACTCCTACCTATGACATATGTAAATATTTAGCGATGGTATTAGGTGCAATCAGAAATCGTCCTGAATGAAGAGTTATTCACCCTTATGGCTTGAAACATGGATTCGATGATATACATTTAGATGGCAACAAAAATTTGGTTAGGTTTGATGTAACCAGCTTGTATACTAAGCTATTGATTGATATAACTCAGGAAGGTGTTAGAAACGAGTTCAATAATGACCATGAGCTTACACTACGAACTAAATTACCAGTACATGATATCATGCTAGAATTACAGCTAGGCTTAACTTCTACACTCTTTAACTTTTAGAATAAAATATACAAACAAACAGAAAGAGTTACCAAGGAATTATCCATGTATCCTATCGTGGCTGACATTTATGGATGGTTAGGAACGGATGGCTGTAGAAACATTTTTGTCCGGCTCCAAATACATAGTTTCGATACGTAGACATCACGTTTACAGTGTTGAAATCACAGCACATACATCGTTTCTTTACAGGTATAAATTTTGGTAGTCAGCGCAATCAAATTCACCTATGAATTAGAAAATAGTGAAGGGGAATAAGCAATTTTGTATTGGAGAATTAAATCAAAAGATGAGAGTCTAGAGATCACACTCAAATCGTTACTGAATCTTCGAAATCTCCCAGCCTATGTTAGTTAAAACTGTCTCAGTGTCTAGTCCCAACGTCATCGAGAAACCTAATATCTCTGACGTGCATTTCTTGTACAATGGTAAAACTGTAAAGTTCCTTAGAAATCGTAAGAAAATTCTGATTAATATCAGCAACATAGGGGTTAGTAGTAGTAATGATAAAGTTAATAAAGTAAAGTGATGTGGTCACTTTTCTTAGGAATCAAGCATCCAATAAGCTTTGGTGTTACTGAAGTACCACAGATGTTTACAAGGCTCAACAGATCCATTTTTTGCAAGTGTTTAGGTTACCTATTTGTTCAGTTTGAGGGATTTGTTTAAATTTAGTAATTTTTTCAAGCTGGTATTCATCATGGACTGACATCATTGAGAGGGAATTTTGAAACTAGTGTTAGACTCGTCAGCAGTGCATACCCCTGACCCCACCTCATCAGGGATTGAACTCATAACCTCCAGGTTCCTTGACCACCACGTTACCCTTTTTTGTCGGAGTCCATTGGTCCTTATTCGCTACCTCAATCAGTTCACAACACAGAGCAAAACATCGTTTATTGTCATTGTTGAGTATTTATCCTCAAGGCCATCGGGTTTTCTCCAACAGCCAGGACTCCTCATTGGAAGGTTAAGGATTCGATTCCTCATGGATGAGGACATTGGTGAGCACTGCTACGGTGTCCTCTACGAGGAAGAAACAGCCGCGCAGTGCTACCACACTTACTATGTTCCTCCAACTGATCTAGGTTCACGATGAATACCAACTTGAAAAGTTACTTATGTATATGTAGAAACTGTTGTTCAGTTTTGCTTCAAAATGTTTTGGTCCGATAACTCAGATTTGTCTTTTGATTAAATCCACAACATTTGAATGTGAATCTTTAATATCCTGTGAGTGGTTGCTCACCTGTGTATTGTTTTTCATTGAAATAGTGAGACGTTGTCGTTTGCCAGTGAACGTGTATTCTCAAGTTTGGCTAATATACTGGGCAATTACACAAGGCTACCACAGACGATAATTCAACAACTCAAGGTAAAATCTTTATGTATTTCTATAAGTACTTATCAGCGTTTCTTTACATATCGTCTTGTAGAATATAAAAGTTGAAATGTGTAGGAAGAAAAAGAGTTTTATCTCCCTTAGTGATTTCTATTCTTGCCTCCTGGTAATAAAGTATTGAGTACTGAATAATTCTGTTCGTAGGGATATATTTATTGATTTCAGGTTGTCATTCATCCCAGAGTGATAGCAGCAGAAGAAACATCAAACAATCAACTACCATTCCCGGATGTTTTAGTCAACAGAACGAATACGGGGAAACTGGAAACTCAAGTGTACAGGAAGTCAACATACGCTGGCTGATCAAATCATCAACTACAGTAGCAATAACACACAAAATTAGTCACCTGCAGACTCTATTCAAAAGAGTGAGAACGCACAGCAGTACAACAACTTCACACAGGAACGAAGGGAGAACAACGGTCACCCAATAAAATTTATCACAACATCCCCATCCTATACATCATCAACTAGATAGTCATCGACACAAATCAATAAACGCATCATCCTATCATTCATAAAGAATGTATCAGTGATCAGCACAAGATTACTGAGACGACATGGTGGAATTGGTGTGGCGTCTCACAAACCAACAAATTCCCTACAAACACTATTATGCAGATCAGAGTATGCAACAAGCAAAGAAGACTAATCGAATATCATTTACAAAATCAACTGGAATAACTGACTGTAGTCAACACCACATTGGACAAAGTGTTCGCCCTCTTCACTTTCATCTTCATGATCACCGACTGGCTATTGAACGTCACACATGATATTTCATCACTCATTTCAATGCACGTGGATGCCAACTATGGACATGAATTCAATTTCGACAGTGTAGAAATGTTTGAGGGTGAGAGGAAACGCAAAGGATATGAGAGAATTATTAATGTTTGGCATTCAGATCATAGACTCAATACATCAAGCGATGGTAAAAATGATAAAGGCAATGAGGTGAGAGGTGAAGTAGAGGAATAGTCGACAGGAAAGTCTCTGCAATCCGTCAGTGACACAACAATCAGAGGAAACAACCAACAACAACCTAGTTGGTTAGGGTGAGCTACTGAATCACTGACAGAGAGATATTGACAACTCACTTCATCCTGAAGTTAGTGTTAATGGTTATGTTGTTTAGAAAGACGACGAAAGTTGCACAACTGAACAACCAGCTCACAGTGCACAACACAAGGAGAGAAAAAACCAATACAAACAGTGACATATATGATAACCCCTTTTTCAGTTTCGTCCAATATAATTCTCATCAGCCGACATCCGATGTAGCTGTCTTTTGTTAACTGCAAACGTGTTTGATTGACTTCAGTTTGATACTCATGATGAATTGGTATCAGCTGGTTTATCATTGTTAACCGTCCGGCACTGGAAAGTAGGATGGAGGTCGTTCTATAATGTTAACCGAGAGAAGTAAGAACTGTGCACCACTTAATATCCACCCTCTGGCTCATAGGTAACCAGCTCATCACAGAACCTGAAAGTTCTGGGTTAGATCTCTGGTAGCGTTATGATTGTCACTGCTGGAAAGTACGATTATAGTGCGAAAAAGCTGTCCACGCTTCTGTTGGTTCTCCAGTTGATGTAACTTCATGATGAATATCAGCCTAAAATCAATAAAAATATAGCCTTACAAACCTCCAAACTAAACTGTTCGATTGGCTTTGACCAGGTGACAATGATTTACAAATAAAATCAACGTTGAACCTCGTTTCGAGTTACCACATTTCACAGCAGTACACAAAGAAGGGATGGATAGAAAAATAGTGATGTTAAAGAGAATAAATAATCCTAAGATAAAGGTTAGTGTGATTAATCAAGCATTAGACGGTGTTGCTGCAAAAGATTTCCAGCCATGTCACCAAGAGTCCTCAACCATTCATTTCTATCGTTTCAGAAACCCCATACCAGTCAGGTTATCTACACCTTCTCACATGGCTCATACCAACAGTAACAGACTTCATGGGCTGGTGCTAAATGGTGATCTGGCCAATCTGAATCCTTTTCCAAACTAATCCATCTTCTCTTAGCATAGAACTTCAAGATAGCCCGTATCTTTGCAATGGAATGCGCATTACATGTCCAAAGCATCTCAGTTGACTGAAGTTCACAACCTCAGTAAACGACCTGCAGGCCTATTTTGCTTAGTACCCTTCGCCTTAGCTCCACATTACTCACATGACGATTCTAGTTAGTGGTAGTAATCTTACGAAGAAATCTGTGATCAGAACGCCCTAATTTTTCTCTTCATGTCTCCGATTTCTAACAAACTTGTCTCATAGGTGCACAATAGGAGAAAACGAACTACAGTGAATGTACTTCCTTTTTAATAGATAGTCGGCACAACCGATGAAGCAAATTGCAAAAGAGAAATGGACCTTCTATATTCGAGCTGAGATTCCATCAGCAGCCAACCTGCTTAAGCTGATGCGACTCCCCATTTAAGTGAAGTGGTCAACATATTTCACCACTTCACCACTTCTTATCATCAAAGTGGCAGCAGTTGCAAACCTCTCCTAGAACATCATCCTATATTCAACAAGTGCGAAACGTATGCCGAACATACTCAGATTTCTGCTCAAGCAGTCCAGAAGGTCCTGCACTTTTTCAGCATCTTTAGGCTGCAGAACAACATCCTCTGGATACTCAAAGTCAACAAGATGACCTATTATTTATTATTCTTTTTTGCCATGGGTTCTTAGTGGAACATACAGCTTCAGTGGCACGTCGCCATTTCAGTCTGTTCTCTACAGTCTTTTGAAGCTGGCTCCAAAATTGCCCACTAGCTTTCATTTTCTCCCCACATCATCTCCATGTCACTCTCGCTTCGGCCTTCCAACTCTTCGTTTCCCATTTTGCTTTCACTCGACCGCCTGGTCTGGCACGTGATCTCCCCAAACCGTTTTCTCACTGTATTTCCAATTCAGTCCATCTCCACTGTCTTCTGCATATTTGTTAGGCGATAGGTTCTCCGTTGGTTCATTGCTCAGCCAGAGTTCCTTCCTGCTTTCTCTTATTATTCTGGCCGTCTCATCCTCATCACCTCTGTCTTCTTTACGTTAGCCTGAAGTCCCATCTTCACTGCCTTGACTCTTCTGCCAACTTGTTAGTTTTTGCCTATAGATCTTCGGGTTTGTGCGACATTAGACATAAATCAATATCGGTGAAATCCAAATCTTCTTGTGAGGTGTTTTCATCGGTGCACCCAGCGTATGCCCATCTTCTCGCTCCTCACAGTTTGTTGCATGCATACAAGATGACATGGGAGTAGGTCAATCCTTTTGGAGTCATATTCATTGGTACTTCTTTGACGAAGTTAAGTAAGAAACTAAATAGGTACATAGGTCACTCACTGATGGGTTAGTTCATGTACCTATAAAGTCTCACAGGAGATCAGTCGTTTCTGGAACAGCTTAGTAGTTAAGTTCTTGACACCAGGTCATGGTGATGCAGGTTCTCATCACCGAGGTACTACCAGTGTTCTTATAACTGCATATATGCTTTTATTAAATGTCAAGCTGGAAATGATATCTTAACCAAACACTAGTTTCGGTCTTTAAAAGTTGATACTGACTGATCAAGGTGATCAGTTGAGACTGAGAGTGGTTTTTTCCCCAGTTGACTCAGCTTAAACAACCAAATTATCCAAGCCCTTCCAATTAGTCCTAGATACTTCAGTGGACTAGTATTTTCCACATGCATGATTCGAGCCTCAGTCTTTCACATCTGTCTTGACGAACGACTTAAAACTGACCGTAATTTAGCTATTAGTAGAATAAAACTAATAAGGCTTTATGCATTTTTAATCAAAGTAACCTTTCATAGTTATCAACTCAATTTCACGTTTCTAGAGACTTCATTTACAAGTGTATGGAAAGTATCAAATAAAAAAAGGTAAAATATAAGTTCATTTTAGCATATACTTTGATCATTTTCAAGTGAGTAAACAGTTTTGGACAACGTCGTATTTATTTATAAATAGTTCTTTCTGTTAGCGATCGATATTATAGATGCCTTCTATTGCATGGATGAAGAAGAGAAGAGCAGAGAAATGCCCTCAACAAACACATCTACGCTTGTCTATTAGATAATGAGTCACACACCTTATTGCGTGAGAATTAATGATACTATCTGGCTTGGTATACTTCTATAGGCTGAGTGGGATTCGAATCCATAACCCATTGTGGCCTACCTCTTAGATCGCGTACTTATGATTGATCTGTAATCATCACTGAACTGCATTCGATTTCTTCCACAACTGCAATGTGTTATTTTCACTGACAATACTACTTGTTTTAATGATGGATAGTGGTTAGTAGTGAAATCCAGGATGTGCATTTCATCCCTTTTGGACTTGTCAGCTTGATGTATCTGCCTCCCAGTAAGTGATATTGTTCCTGTCGGAATTCGGACTCGGGAGGTTGGTATATCCAGCTGTCGAGTTTGCAAATAGGACAGATTGTGAATCCTAGATTCCACTGCTAGTCACCATATATCATTGATATAATTGAAACATAGATAATATTGAGGCATCCTCATAGGAGCCCATAGTCCAATAGAGACCGATCAATTTTGGTTTAATCAACAAAAATATAATATAAGCAATCATACTAATACTATTTACTGTTTTTTATAATCTGAACAGACGTTTAGGTTCACTGATATGGACCGAAAACTTGGAATTTATCAGGTAAGTGTTTACAATATTAAGAAGACGTTTTGCTAACATTAAGATGAATGATTTGGAGAATAAAATAAACCTTTTACCAAACTTTGAACTTGTAACAGAGGAATAGACTAGTTCACATGGATATTTCTGTTCACTGATAAATAATTTTGAAGTTTCAGTGTATTCTAGAGGGAAGAACATTCTAAAATTACTTCCTATCAATGATAAAAGAAGGATACTGAATCTAATGAGAAAGTTACACAACTAAACGTTTCATCATTGAAAAAGAAACTAGGGAAAATGAAAATTATATAAAACAGGAATTATCTAGAACAGTGAAAATTTGTTGATGGCCACAGCAAAGACAAAAGTTGAAAATCATTGTTGGATACATACAGTGGGTAAGAACTTCTGAATAAGTAGTACTTCAGCTATACCTGAATGCTTTGATCAAAATCTGTAGAAAATTCTGAGAGAGTTTTCCTGAAGGGCTGAGTGATATGAATTCACTAAGTGTTTAATTATTTAGTTGAATATACATTTCTGTTCTCCTTTTTGTTATCTAACCATGGTAGGGTTATTGAGCACGTTTTACAGGCAACCATATGATTCAACTACACAGAAGCAAGTAAACTAGTATACACGCATTGAAGATAATGTTACTTACAGGAGAAAATGATTCTAAGGCTACTGGAAAATTATATTCGATTTCAGGATGCTGATATTCGTTTTCCACTGCTGTCATCCTTTTAACTTTTCCTACAATCAAAATTGATGTATACCATTGTTTGATATAAAAGCTTAGAGAATATCAAATGATTATTCTACTCTGCTTGAGTTATTATTATTTTTCCATTCGGTTCCCAGTAGAATATAGGACTTCAGTAGAACGCCTCCATTCCACTCTCTTCTCTCCAGTCTTTTCATCCTCGCCCCACCACTGCCCAGAAGCTTTGACTGCTTCCTCACATGATCTCCTACAGGTTACCCTCATCTGCAATGCCAAAATTGTCGTTGCCCCTTTGTATTCCACTCCACAGCTTGGTGTACTCTAACGCGTGATGTCGCCGAATGGTCGTCTCAGTGTATGATCAATCCAATCCATCTCCACTTTCTTCCACTTCATATTTCTTAGGTGATAGGTTCCTGGTTGATTCGTCGCCCAGCTAGAGTTTCTCCTTGATTACTGTCATTATTTTGGCCATTTGATCTCATCTTCAGTAACAAGCCAGAGTCGGCAGCTGTTGATAACGTATGTCTGCAGTTTATTGGAAGTGCTTTTCGTGACACGCCAAGTTTCTGAACCATACAGCAGCACTGACTTCACACTGGTGTTGAAAATCCAGATCTTGTTCTGGATGCGGAGTGCAGAAGTTCTTTACACTGGTTTCCGGTTAATCAACGCCTACCTTGGTTTTCCGATCCTGTCTTTGACATCTTCATCTATGCCACCATCGCCTGTAGTTGAAATGATGCTGCTTAGTTGGTAAGTGAAAGAGACTACTTTCTTTAAGTTTCTCCCTTTCATGGTGGCTGGTCTTTGTTGTTGCTGTTGTTGTTGGTTGGGTATCTTCATCAATTCTGTCTTCTTTACGTTCACCTGAATTTCCGTCTTCACTGCCGTGCTTCTTCTGTCAACTTGTTAGTTTTCGCCTGCAGATCTTCAAGTTTGTGAGACATTAGACACAAACCATCAGTGGCGAAATCCAAATCTTCTTCTGGATCTTTTCCGCGGTCCAGCCAGCGTATATCGATCTTCTGGCTCCTCACAGTTGTTTGTTGCATGATCCAATCCACCACGATCAGGAAGATCATCAGCGATAGTAGGCAACCTTGTCTTTATCCTGTCTTCACTTCGAAGGCATCACTGAGCTCTCCATTATGAATTACTTTGCACGTGGCGTCTTCATTTAGCTGGTGAATGAGATTGATAAAGGTTTGTGGTATTCCGTAGTATAAAAGCAGTTACCAAATTATCTCTCGGTCGATGCTGTCAAAGGCCTTCTCAAAGTCGATGAAGTTGAGTTGAGGTAGAGGTTGACTGCCATTCTATTCTCTCTTCAATGATGATGCGTAGTGTTGACATTTGATCCGCACATGATTTGTACTTCCTGAAGCCTGCCTATTCCGTTCATTTCCTATAATACACCTGAGCTTCTGAGAGTTATAGGCATTAAATGTAAGGATTTGAAGATTTTAAGGAAAAATTTTTACAATCAAGTCCTCTTATGTCAGAAAAGAAGTGGCTCGTCGACTATGCAATACTGAAACACTTTCATTTCACCTTTAAGCTCATTTAGAAAACAGGTATCTTAATCACTTTTATGATTAGTATAAATGTTTATGCACACTGTTGAACTTTGACTAGTAATTTGATGGACTGCTTAGACTGTATGCAGCTGACAAGTGTTATTTGTACTGAGTAATGTAACTGATCCTAGAATTCTATAAAACCTGTCTCCACTCGGAAACATCTCTCATCAGGCCCTCGAGTGGAACCCAAAGGGGAAACGATGAGTTGAGCGTCTGAGGTTGACATGGAGGAGATAGTGTGAGTAAGAAATGAAAGCTTATGAGCAGTTGTGGAGCCTGCTTTATAAGACTGATGATAAGAGAGTGAAATTGTGACGTGCTACTGAAGCCACATTTTCCACTGGGAATGCAAGGAACAAATAATATAGTAATAATAATAATAACCAAAGATTCGAAGTTTAAGATACGACGAAGTGACATTATTCACAGTAAGAAATCCCTCAATAAAAGTTATAAAAATCATCGATTTTCATATTTTTGAACTATGATAGTGACAGTTACTAAAAACCTGATCAACAGAGCTAATCGTTTGGTGAACAGAGAATAGAATAAAATTGAAATTTTCAAAGTTGGTTTATTGTACACTTGGGGCAAGAAACTATCACAAAGAACTTCAAACATAATCAGTGATAAATCAGTTTAGAAATGTATATGTATTTCGCCGATGATGATTTATGTCTAGTGTCGCACAAACTCGAAGATGTACAGGCGAAAACCAACAAGTTGACAGAAGAGGCGAGGCAGCGAAGATGCGACTTCAGGTGAACGTAAAGAAGACAGTGGTGATGAAGATATCCAACCAACACCACTAATAACAAGCTCCACTCACCATCAACAGAGAAACTTAAAGGAAGTAGTCTCTTTCACCTACTAACTAGGCGACGGTGGCATAGATGAGGATGCCAAAACCAGGATGGAAAGAGCAAGACAGGCGTTGATTAACCTGAAGGCAGTGTGGAAGTCTACTGCACCCAGTATAAAGAACAACATTCGGATTTTCAACACCAATCCGAGTCAAGTCAGTGCTTCTATGTGGTGGTTGAGAGACTTGGAGTGTCACAAAAAGCATTTCAAACAAACTGAGGACATTCATCAACAACTGCCTACGCTGTCTCGATGCTGAAGATGAGATCAAATGGCGAGAATAATAAGAATGAGCGAGGAGGAGCCCTAACCTGGTGACGAACCAATGGAGTGGAACCCAGATGGGAAACGGCGAGTTGGGCGTCCAAGGCATGGAGGAGATCGTGTGAGGAAGAAATGAGAGCTTGTGGGCAGTGGTGGAGCCAGATTTAAAATACTGCAGAGAAGAGAGTGCAATGGAGACGTGCTACTGAAGCTGTATGTTCCACTAGGAACCCAAGGGACAAATAAATAATAATAATAATATGACAATGGTTAATCTATATCGTTTTGAGACAAGATATGTCACTACACGAGGATATCTCAGACTATTGATCTGAGCTGTACGATAGAAATTAGTGGCGCAGATGTATACACCGCATATTAAATCTGTTTATTTGATATACAGAATATAGTGATATAGGATTATTCACGTGAAGACGTTTTGACCATAAATTCTTGATAATAATCACGTCAATGTAATCACACCGCTTTCAAAATTTGATTTTTACAGTCCTGTCAAGCACTCAACTTTCTTTGTTTTTATTGGTAGTAAAATTTTCCATATCTCTGGTATGTATGGGTGTTGCATCATTTTTATTACATATGTTGGGCGTCGGCTGATTCGATGAAGAAAGATTCAGTAATCATTCTCTCACTCCACCTAATTATACTGCACTTACAAACTTACTCAGATACAGGTTTTGTCAGCTGAAGGATTTTCTAGAACCAATTAAGCGAAATAATCTAATCTATCAAATTCCATGTAATGACTTCGAGGTCAAGTACATAAGTCAAACTAGCTTGTTCGTGACAGTTAAAACAGCGGAACATAACAGGCTCCCAAAGAATGAACAGTCAAGAAAAACATAGATTAACACATAACCACGCAAAATGGTTGGTAAGATAAAACCACTGTAAGTTCAATATAATTATGTGTAGACAGAGAGAGATTGATTACTGAATCGTTGCTTATCGAATTAACACCCAGTATCCGACATATGTAATGGAAATGACGCAACATCTATTTCCAGAGATATGGAAAATTTCACTACCAATTAGAAGTTGTGACTGGTGGGAGCAAAGCCTAATGGTCGTGAGGACAGTAATTCAACGATGATATTGGGTGGTGGTTGCAGTATATCATGAGCTAACAGAAGTTGGAAATATGGACCACTGGATTCTGATCTAGTGGCTCAATGGTAACGTGCTGGTCACGGAACCTGGTGGGGTGGGGTCATAGATGTGCGCTGCCGAGGAGTCCCATACTAGAACGAAACAGCTGTCCAGTGCTCCTAAGTTTCCTTTATTCCTCCAACTGATGTTAGTCTACGATAAATAACAACTTGAAATATTTCCAAATCCTCACAAATTCTTCAAAATTTAATTTTTCCTTTGCTTCCATTCCTTGTAACTATGTCTGAGTGGAAGTTCTAAGCGTCTAACTTACATAGTCCATGATTGATAGTGATTCAGGATATTTGTGAACTAATCACTACGCTTTATTAACAAAGATTAACTAAATGAAATTATTGTATCCTTAATCTAATGGTATGGCCATTATAGTTAAGGTTTATAATTTTAACCCTGTGAATAATGAATTGAAAGGAATACTGAAGATTCGTTGCAACTTTTTATCACTGCCTGAGGTCATCCAGGAGTTAGTTGTGATATCACAAACAACACCCAAGATGACTTACAGGATCGATGAAGTAGACTACCAGACTGAAATGAGCACCAGTTACATTGTATTTATGGAAGTATATATATTGACAATGTACAAGGCCCATAAGAGCTTATGTGACATAATCAGTGTGTCATAGAAAGAGAACAAAAGGTTAACTCATTGTTTGGTTGTGACTAGCGGAAGAATCCAGGACGCATGTTTCATTCAATTCGGGACTCGTCAGCTGGATGTACCTGGACCCCAGTGTCGTGTGATGTTATTCCCACCGGAACTTGAACCTCATAGCCATCAATTTAAAAGCCAAGGTGTTATCCACTATGCTATGGAGACACGATAGCCATCTTCTGTACAATGGGTATTAATCATTATTATTTATTGGTATAATTGTAATTCTCAGTTATTTTATTAGATCGAAAAGTTTGACCTCCATTGGTCTATGGGCTTTTATATTGATGATTCGATATTGCCTAGATGGTAATTATGGTAGTTTGTTTAGTTGTGGCTAAAATGGGAATCCAGGAAGCGAGATCCGGTAAAACAAAAATGAATTACAAGTGTATTCATAAATAATAATGACAGTCGTAATTGTTTGTTTGTGTTGCAATAATAACCAAGAAAACCGTAATTCAATCGATGAGGGGGGTGGGGGGTGGAGGTAAATTAATTAATTTATTTATTTACAATGAGAGGAGTCGAGTGAAGTCGAAATCCCATGTCACATCATGATCATTACTTAACTGAAAAGTAACTGTAGTCCATAGAAGAGCATACCATTTGAATTGAAAACTAACCTGATTATAGGATTAAAAGGCATTCGGTGTGGAAGAAACCATCTTTGTTAGTTGGTTGGTGACAATCGGCAGGAAACCCTCATCGACCTAGGTTTCTTGTCTTTTGGCACCCATCAGTAAGGTGTATCTGCAAACTCAACATTGTAAATATGATCGATAGAGATATGAGTTCCATCGAGGTTGTAGATACGCCTTGTTGATGAGTGCCGAAAATCAGCATGAAACCAAGGTGAAGCAGGGCTTCCTGCTGATTGCCTCCAACCAACTAACATCTACTCATGTGCACCGCGATGCTGAGTTTCCTAGCTTGATTGCCACATTGCAGATATGTGGATAGGATTCGGTGTGCACTCAGGACTAGACAACATGAAATTGGTTGCACTCCCTTGACCAATCAATACAGAAGGCATCTTTGTTATGTCATTTATTGTGCCTGATTTGTGTATTTAGAACTGGTTCACACTGAAACTACAGATCCTTATTCCAATAATTGTTACTTTCATGGGTCCAAGTAGTTTATAAAGTGACTTTTTTTGCTTGCTTTTGTAATAAAATACTCTTGAATTTATTTTTCATTATTTTAAGCTTACAGAAATACTAAGATTTTTGCATACTGGTCAATCCTTATTCCACAATAATGTCTCTCCGAGTTCTATTTTAATTACACATCAAAATCAATGGCGACTGGCATCTGCTGCATTTTTAGAGCCAACTCGTTTGGAGAACATTGATAAATGTCAAGTAAGTATTGATAGAATAATGATAAAGTAATGCCTAGAAATTAAATTAACTGTATACTACTGAAAATTCATTAATAGTGATCTGTGAATTTCACTAGGCAAATATGGGTTATCTAAATGCACTTAGAGTTAAGCTCATCAGCAGTCTGTCTACACAAATCCTCTTCATATAGCCGAATAATTCAAATGACATAGACAAAACCACCGTCTTATCTTTGGATAACTCTTAAGCGGATAGGGAAATGCACAGATCAGTTTGATTGATTTCGAAGTGATTATTTTTTCAGTAGTATTTTTCTTCTGTTCATGACATTATCTTGTCAGAGGTTATACCTCGGGGTGTTGTCTGAGCTATGGACTCACTCAACCAGGACTACTGTCGGTTTCGACGATAGAATCTACAAATCATTCATAAATTATTCATGCGACTGAAGAAGGTAAATCGAGTAATTTATAATTGGATATCTACTTTATAGTGTCTGTTAACTAATACATGGGGATTTTTGACCAAAATAAATTAGGAAAAACCATCTGAGTGAACAAAGAATATTCTTTTCAATAACTTTGTATTGTTCACCTTCTACAGTTATATTTACACAGTGATAAGTTATGCATCAACAATATTAGGATTTCACTTACCAGCTTGTTAATAATATTCATTAAACATTTGAGGAAGTCAATTCAATAGAGGTTTAAAGGTGAACTATACAGATAAGTAGATGAGGTCGCAATTGGGTTCCCCACTGGGGTCCCACATTAGCAAATCTTTATCTTTCTTAACTACAGAATGATTTACTTGAATAATTTATCAAAAAATTTTCATTTTTCTATCGATATATATGGATAAAAATCTTAATCTTGTGGAAAAAACAACCTGAATAGGTTAAAGGTAGTTGACCGATTCAAAACAGTACATTCAACGATGATTATTATTATTATTATTAGTCCCTTGGGTTCCTAGTGGAACATACGGCTTCAGTAGCACGTCTCCAGTGACCTCTCTTCTCTGAGATCTTTTCAACCTGGCTCCACGACAGCCCACAACCTCTCATTTCCTCCTCGCACGACCCCCTCCATGTCACCCTCAACTCGGACGTCCAACTCGTCGCTTCCCATGGGGATTCCACTCGAGTGCTTGGCCTAACGCGTGATGTCCTCAGTCGGCCTTCTCAGTGTATACCAATCCATCTCCACTTCTTCCTGCATATTTGTTGCGTGATAGGTTTTTGGTTGGTTCGTTCCCAGAGCTCCTTGTTGCTTATTCTTATTATTCTGGCCATCTGATCTTCAGCAGCGAGCGTAAGCAGTTGTTGATGGATGTCTTAAGTTTATTGGAAATGCCTTTCGTGACGCGCCAAGTCTCTGAACCATACAAGAGCACTGACTTGACGTTGGTGTTGAAAATCCGTATCTTGTTCCGCATGCTGAGTGCAGAAGATCGCCACACTGGTTTCAGGCTAATGAAAGCCTGTCTTGCTTTTCCGATCCTGGCTGACTTTGACATCCTCGTCCGTCCCGCCTGTAGTTGAAACAGTGCTTCGTAGATAGGTGAAGGAGGTTACTTCCTTTAAGTTTCTCCCGTTGACGGTGATTGGAGTTTGTTGTTGTTGTTGTTGATGGTGGTGGTGCGGTATCTTCATCAACTCTGTCTTCTCTATATTCACCTGAAGTCCCGTCTTCGCTGCCTCTTCTATCAACTTGTTAGTTTTTGCCTGCAGATCTTCAAGTTTATGTGACATTAGGCATAAGTCATCGGCGAAATCCAAGTCTTCTAGGTTCTTTTCCGTCGTCCAGCGTATCCCCCTCTTCTCGCTGCCTACTGTTTGCTGCATGATCCAGTCCACCACAATCAAGAATATCATGGGGGATAGTAGGCAGCCTTGTTTCACTCCTGTCTTCACTTCAAAGGCATCACTGAGCTTCCCATTGTGGATTACTTGGCATGTGGCATCTTCATATAGTTGTTGAATGAGGCGGATAAAGGTTTGCGGTACTCCGTAGTATTGAAGCAGTTTCCAAATTACTTCTCGGTCGACGCTGTCAAAGGCCTTCTCAAAGTCGATGAAGTTGAGGTAGAGAGCATTCAACGGTGATATTTATATATAAGTAAGAATCACAAAACAAAATAACTTTTCTTGATGAAAGTTTATCAAGATGAAGAGATGGATCGATAAAGAGGAATACGCTTACAAAAAGTACGCGGGCAGGACAGCTTCTTCGTTTTTTTTTCTATTTCACAAGAATTTTGATAAAATCTTCAAGAGATAGAATAAAAGCTGATGAACTTGTGCTTCACACTAGTAAAAATTGCCTATCCTGATGAATCCATGAAAAAAACATATGATTACAAAAATGGAAAGAAAAGTTATTCCAACAGCTTACAGGAAACCACTGTGAATTCGTGTTCGATTCAGAGGACATGAGCTTAGCGATTTATCAATTCATTATCTATGCAGATTATTTCAAAGGACTTTTAATGGTGGTAAATTACATATTATGTTCTACACACGCCCAATGGTGACAGTGAGACCTGAATGATGAATTATCCAAACTGGCGTTTTCTTGCTGTGTTAATAAGTTCGACTGCTTCTGTGGAGTCACTTACATCGGCTGAGGCTCGAGGACTTTAATTCCCCATGCCCGCGAATACTCCCCAGTTTGGTTTGATAAAGGTGCGGTAAAGACCGTACTAGGAAGGAAGAAGAAAGAAGATAAGGAATGAATCTCTATGGACACATGGAAGCTGATAGAGGAGTGATAGGAAGATGGTGAAGCGGAAGATGAACCAGTGCAAGGATGCTCAACGAAAAGAGGAACTGAGTACAACGTATAAAACACTACACTAACCTGAAGAAGTGAAGAGTGTGCGCAAAGACAAAAGACACTTCTACGACACATTGGCAAGTGAAGCAGAACAGGTTGCAGGTAGGACAGACCTGACAATATTATATCAAATAATTAGGTTACTATCTGGGAGGGAACAGATCAACACAGATGAAACCAATAAAAGATGATGAAGAAAACCTTATAACCAAAGAGGAGAAACAAAGAAGACGATGAACTGACCACTTCAAAAAGCTGTCGAATCGACCACCACCTGCACTTTTGTTTGGCTCAGAAACTTGAAGCGTTACGAAAAGCATTTCCAACAAACTACAGATATTCATCAACAACTGCCACCTATGCTGGCTGGTTACCGGAGATGAGATCAGATGGCCAGAATAATAAGAATAAGAGACAAGGAACTCTGGTCGGGCGACGAATCAACCAAGAACCTATCACTCAACAAATATGTAGTGGAAGGAAGTGGAGATGGATTGGGCATGCACTGAGAAGACCAATCAGGGACGTCAGGCACTCCAGTAGAACCCAGATGGGAAGCGACGAGTCAGCTGTTGCAGCTGAGGGTGACATGGAGGAGACTGTGTGAAGAGGAAATGAGAGGTTGTGGGCTGTCGTGGAGCCAGGTTGAAAAGATTTCAGAGAAGAGAGTCGAATGGAGACGTGCTACTGAAGCCGTATGTTCCATTAGGAACCTAAAGGACAAATAAATTAAATAATAATTAAGACCATTACCCGCTTTCTGCTGGCAAACTTGCTTGAAATGAGTCATAAGTTGGATATGAATGAATCGTTTTCCATACTGTACCTGGTTCCTATCAACTTGCCAAAAGATACCCACCCGACTCCGAATTCTTTGGATTGCAGAACAAGCAGCGGTCAAGATGAAACAACCGGAGTTATATGTTCCATTAAGCAATGGTTTCCTGCTTCAATTACAATGGTCTACCGATTCCAAATGCACAAAATCATTCATATCCAACCTAAGGCAATCTAATTTTCTAATTCCACGCTATAGATATCCGTTAATCTCTCTAGTCAGAAGTATTTTCAACGAATTCTCCACATGATTAACATTCTATCTAGGTATTATTTCATCAAACTATCGTTCGTAGTTTATTTCATCCAACTCTCATAAATATCTTCCTTTTGTTTTGTTAAACTATTCCATTATATCATTACCTATACAGTATTATCGTTTAGATAATCAACTATTTTGTTTAATTGAATCCCAGTAATAATTGATTGTATCATTAACGTTCTCATAAGACTTTTCAGAGTTGATTTCTTCATTATTCTTTATATTGTTGACGCATAATTCCTTAATTTGTCTAAATAACTGTAGAACCTGAAGAATATGAAGATGTCGAAGAGAATATTCTTTGTTCAATCAAGCGGCTTTTAAATTGAGAATGAGAATTTTAATGACTTAAAAAATTAGGTAAATCAATAAATTAGGAATGAATAGGTTTACAGACTATATTTCGTTGTTTTCTCTTAAAATGAAAAATCTTTGAACCACAATAACTTTTTTCCAAAGATTTGTAGACCAGAGTGTAGTAGAAGCATTCTACCATATAGCCAGATAGTTGTGCTCAACGAACAAACTAGAGGAAGAAGCAGTGATCACTGTATTTCTGACCTCCGTGCTCTACCAACTGATTTACTAGGTCCGACTGGTGACCAGATTATGATGTCATTGCAGTCATCAATGGTTTTGTCCAACTACCATATGAATTTATAATGCCTTACTATCATTTGATCGTACTTACATTGGCTACCACCCTCTGCCTTGGTGACTGAAGTGAAATAGAAACCCTACGGTCAGCAGTCGGACATCATCGCTCAATTGGTAGAGTACCGGACCAGAAACCCAGTGGTTGTTAGTTCGAATCCGGCCACAGTCTTTCACCTTCAATCATCAGCCAGTAGCAATATTAGTCTGCCAAACCATGACTATCTCGGATAGTCAAAATGATAAAAGAAATGATTACTATCAGAGATTTATGAAGAAGTCTACTAGTCAACTCTCTCTTAGAGCTATGGCAAACAGTCTTAAGAAGAGACACCTGTAGATTTGTTTTCTATGTAAAGATGATCAAATCTCAGACATGGTCAGTAGAATTTTGAAAGCTGCAGTAAGAATCATACCACTTTACA